AAATTGTAAATACCCTTATTTGATATTTCTTAACGTGCTACACAAGTAATAAAAATAGCTATATTCTGACTTCTGACTTCAAACTACCAAGACCACACCGCATTTCATATTCTATTAATTAAACAGTACTCACCTTTTTTCTACCTTTGTGTCTGTCTGTCTCTTTTACGTCTGTGAATCATTATTCTGTCCCCCTCTCGACTTTTCGCCACTTTGGTGTTCCTCTTCCTTTCTGTGATGCCCGAAGTCAACTAAAGGGCTAATGATACCTATCATAACGCCTGCCACTTGAAATAAATCTATCGAGTCCCATGTTTATCTTGCAGAAAGTATCAGAAATTGTCGTGAGGTTTTTTTCGTCTGGCTTGGATAATATCAGTTATTCAAAATACAACGAAGAGCACACGCGATATCACTCCGGGGGCATATGAATGAGTATTAACTATTATACAGATCGCTACCACCTCCACTGATCAATGGTTCTAATGAACCTTCTTGAATCAGTGAAAGAAAATGGATTTTTTAAATAAATTCATAAAGCTCCTCTTCTTCGGCTTGTTAGAAAGGAGCTTCGCTTGTTTCCGGAAGAATAGTGAGATTGACTTACAGATATTACATGAAAATGACTGTATGTCTGTCATCTCGGAAAACAATATTAAGAAATTAATTCCTTACACAGACTTCCTATGAATTCGGTTTAGGGTATCGATCGTAAGCTCCTGAGGTCTCGAAGTTAACCTTAGCAAACCCTAGATTCCGATCAATTTCTGATCGCCTCCATCATAATGTCAGAAGTGAAGCTGTTTGATGACAACGTTACCCTAGTCAGAAAGTAATTGCCAAGTATAATACCCTAAATGAAAGCGTTTTTGTTTTGTTTAATGGATCATATCTGGTATTTTTTGCTCATGGTATGTATAAACAAAATTGACTGTTTTATCAATATTAATTCATGATAGATATTACGGTCGTCGCATTCTCGCTACTCTACAACAGAACCCTGATTTTGACCGCATAGTGTCACGATATCTCTCCGGACAGACGTTGAGAGCCGTTCGTGATGCCACAGAATACTTACACACCAAAGTGAGTAATATCTGAAATGACCTCTATATCAAGAAAATGCACTTCTCTGTTTTAAACTCTTGGATCTTCTCTGTGCTAAATAGGGTTTGGGGGAACCACCGACTAGTGTGGTATCTGCCAGATGTCCAAGGACAGCCATAGCCAGTGATCAGATCAGCCATTCCCTTATTCAAAGTCGTGGTTGCAGCGCCGGAGGACTTGGCGGAGGTCTATAGGTCGTGCCACTCACGAAAACACAATCAAATTCTCGTCTTCCTGACACTGGTTAACGGATGTAGATTTGGAATAATCGACTTGCCTACATACTGGTACCACATTTTCATCTACCCTAAGATTAAAATTAATAAAAGTATGACTAATATTTATTTCTTTAAGAACGATAATTAAAAAAATATTTGGCATTAAAGGATCGATTCCAAGTTAAAAATAAATGCAGACAAATTCTAAATTTATTGCTATTTGTTGTCGATAATTCCTTAAAGGTGATAACCACCGGTAGAGAAACCACGTTGAAGGCTTATGTAAAACTAGGTTGCCGAAAGGAAATCTAGGAGAAGAGAAAAACGTCCATATGGCAGATCTCCTGACGTCTGACCAACCAAATCGATTTGAAACAGGGCTGAAAATGTGTAAATTATTCTAAATTATGCTTTGCAGTCTAAAGCGAAAGCTCATTCGGAGATTCGGATTTTCCCTCTTATGGTGTGAGGCGATAAGGAAATTCGGCAATATATGAGGTTACTTGGTAACTGATATGGAACTTCGTTTCATTATGAATCCTAAAGCTGCATAATTGATACTCGTAGAAATGGGAAAGAATTTACTAATTTTAACTGAAGAAGTAACTGTAAAGTTTCGTTAATAAGCTCAATATACTAGGATGGAATAATCTAGGGACTGCGGAAAATCAAATTAATAGGGGCTGAACTGTTTTATACCGATATGATTCCAGTTGGGAAAAAATTTGGAGTTATTTTGAACTTAGCATTCTTCAAATATCAGCCAATTTCGTTAATTTGGGCAAGTCTCCAAAATGTCTTTGTTAGTACAACTACATTCGAGCTAAATCCACCTCGTTCGCCATCATAGGCGATCAGCACTGGTTGAGAATGAATGAAAACAACCCGAGGGAATTGTTCTTAATGATGGATACAATTAAATAGCAGATGCAGAAAATAGTATGGGAGTTCAGCAAAGGTTGCTTCTAGATAAATCATTGGTCGTAGTTCTGCTGGTTCTACCCGATGAAACCATCTTAACCTAGTCGAATCACTTTCAGTGACTTGGGGATATTTTCATCAATTCTGTCACAACCAATAGTGTCGTAACACCCGGCGTCGGGAAAACGCCTCTCATAAAGGACCAAAGAGTTTGTCAAAAATGTCACCAATTTATTTTGAATTTGATTTTATGACTTTAATCGGGATTTACTTATTTGCAATTTGTCAACAAGGCAAATTTCTTGTGCTTAAGTACTTAACGACGGCTCACACAGGTCTCCAAGTGCTGATGAGTCAGCATAAATATCACCGCTCTCAGCGTGTAATCGTAAAATTAACAACTAAAAAGGCTAAAACGGCAGTTAATCCCGACATATTTAACGACCTGCGCCATGCAATCCGAATCCCACAAGACTCAGCTCAATCACTCCTCGAGTTACTCTAGACGCATCGGGCAACCTCGAAAAACTTTTTGCAATTTAGTAAAAAAATAGAATTAAACGACTAAAGACCGGATTATTTTTTAACATAGTCAATACGAGATCTTCATCGGATCTACTCCTCTTTACGTAACATGTAAATAGATAATAGTGGATATCACAATGATAATAATGCGAGAGTTTAACTGCGACTTGCATTGGATCGAAAGTGGTGAGCAATTAATGCGGTCTACTTGCTTAAGTAAAAATACCGAACTGAATGAAATGAATGGACGAAAAATACCACTCTGTCTCATTGCAGACAAGTCTACACCATGGAGTCAAGAATTTTGTATTGAAATCAATAAAAATCGTTGGGCCTTAACTTGGTCGTACATCTTTGTTCCAATTCGTTTAGAGAGTATGATATTTCGTAAAGATAGAATAGTAATGATTCACTACTACCGTACAACTTCAATTATTTTAATACAAGTACTTTTTTAGGGCGTAAAAGCAACCACTAAATAGGTTTAAAAGATGAAAATTATGGACGTATAAATGAAATTGTATCGAATTTGACTTTTTGATTTGTTAGATTACATGGATTTATAAATTTAGATGGACTATAGACATGATTCAATAGGCCTACCCCAGGACTTTTATATGAAATTTTATTTTAATCAAGATATAAGGCTCATTTTTTGTTTGATTAAGAAGAGTGTTACTAACGTGTGTTCAGTAGATACAATTAAAACACGACGCAATAGGGAACTGAATTCTGGTCACTTCAGTAAAACGCATGATGCGTGAAAATCGAGCAGTTTAGCTTTGTATTTAACCCACTCGTGCACAATCAAACCCTCTCATTCCTGTCGTACCAATATGAAGAAGCGTTCAGAAAACCTAAATAAGGACCCTATGCCACAAACAAATTAATTCACCTATCTAACTTTTTGAACTAATTTCAAATAATTCACCCCTCCACCCATAAGTAGATCGGGCAAACTAAACTTCAAAGAATACCTTTAGTAACGTTATTAAGACTTTATAACACGATTAAAAGCGCCACACAAAGAACACATGGTAGCTCAGTGGGAAGACGATAAGGGTTCAAACAGATCCACTCTCGTGATGATGAGGGTGGGTCATCAAAGCAGGTGGTGGCGCTTGAACTGATGCAGTCGCGTCGGAGCTAGCTCCAATTGGCGCGTAAAAGGTTCCTCCACCACTGGCATATCCTGACGCCACAGCTGCTGCATAACCCGCTGGCTCCAGACCGCGCCAAACTTCTACTGCTTCAGCCTAAGTAAATAGATAATAAAATAATTACAATTATTACTAAACATTGACAATAAATGGCTAAAAATTAACATAATGCTGAAGGTCATAAAATTAATCATCAATTGATAAAGTAGTTGGTAAAATGTTAAAGGTAAATATATGGGTTTACGATAGGTAAACGCTTCCAACTTTTCGATGTAATGTAAAGTAAAGAGTCAATGGGTTGCATAACTATAAGGCACAGGGGAAAGTGAAATTGGAGAACGACCCTCCGACTGGCATTTTATCGAGTTTATGCAAGTCAGACTCCAAAACTAACGCACTGATTAATAATGACTTACCCCAGGCATAGCTCCAGCGGCAATTGGCACCATAGTGGGAGCAGGTGGAGGCAAACCTCCTGCCAAGGGTCCAGCCATGTGCTCATAAGCGCCAGCTGTGAAACGAATGGAGGATGCCGTATCGGAGCCAGAGGGAGCTTGATTGACGCCCACTGAGGCAGCATCCGCCATGATTGCAGCCGATCTGTCCGTCTGCGGCATCCGACGCACGGGCCCATTGGTTACAGGGTTGCGCCTGGCTGAAGGACGCAGTGGGGCTGGCAAGGAGACATTCAGCAGATCTGGTGTGCTATATGCCCGAGCGCCATCTATTCCCACTCCCAATCCATGGGGATGCAATTTCTTCTCTGATGGACTATCCACTACACTTTGAACTACCAATTGAGCCAATTGGAGATATTCGTCGTAGGCAGACGATATTCTAAACCCAAGCAAATGTCCAATAGACTTAAACAAAAGTTAAAGGCTTTTAAGTGACAAAAATGATCTACTTGCTTGTTTATATCATTACAGAACATCTCAAGGAACTGTAATTTGCGTTGAGCGAATGCCAGCTTGATAGTAGCAGGAAGAATAGAGTCCACAATGGCCAAATTAGCAAACTCCAAAAAACCATCCACATCCATTGGTCTGCGCTGATATGCAATGTCCAACAGTTGCGAATAAAGACGTTCGTTTCGCTACATTTAAAGGTCATTGGTTAATGAAGAAGCGCAAATCAAATAGATCAGTATATTCAAAAAGATAGTGGAGGCTAATAATTTTCAATTTAGAAGAAATGAAATTACTCACAGGATCGAACTCGATTCCATCAAGTAAGACGGTGATAGCAGCCTCTTCAGGTGAAATAAGACGCTTTTGGTCGGCTGGGAGAGAGGAGATGTCAGAGGGTGGTTGGACCTCAGTGATGGCAGCACGTTCCTGCGCGTAGGCCTTCGCCTCAAGGTCAGCACGTGCCAATCGCTCAGCCTCAGCAGCACGAAACTCCTCCAAGTCCTTATCAGTCTCCCCCTTCACGTCTCCCCAACGAGACCGACGACGTCGTTTCCCCGTAGATGGCTCTTCCCGCTCGCTTTCTTCTGAGCTGCTCCTATCTCTCTCTTCACCATCGCCAGTGACCTCTGTTGACTAAAACATAGATATATTGTAATCTATTCAGATCGATTTTAATAAGCCTGATTGATCGTTCTACAGCTTATGAAGACAGCCTAATTGCAAGAATGCAATATGCCAACACGTGAATAAGAAACATTTTTAAAGATAAAACTAAATAACACTTAAACAAAAAACCCAGCAATGTAACATCGCAAACTTTCAAAAAACACCGCAATCATCACCAGATAATTCATTCAATGCAATGGTGTCAAAAGAGCATTGACTAAAAGGAGGCAGACACCCCATATCAAACTTTAAACGATTGTAGATAAATAATTTTTCAGAACAATAAGTGGTAAAGAAATCAACCACTCTACAATTCCCCTATACAACATAAATTTGATTGAAGAAAGTGACTTATAAAATATACCTACTTTTGAAGAGTTCTTTTTGCTGCTGACTAGAAGCGGAGGTGAACCACCATAAGTGCCATTTTCTGCCGGTGCATTTATCGTCTCTGGCATAACATCTTCCAGCGAGTCATCCACCTCCATCTCCACTGTCACGGGCTCCTCCTCCTGTTTCAGCTCCTTCGCATTTGATTTCTCTTTACTCGGTGTATAATTATCGACCTAACAGACGGAATTCATAACTAAGGAAGATATTGTGATGAATATTTCGATAAATATTATTTCCACTGCATGCTTCGATCCATTTGTAACAAACTTAGCGTGATACTTATTTAAATACCTATCGCTTTAGATTCATGAACAGATGGATTACCCTTTTGAGTTCAAATACAGATGGCACAACTTCGAAAAGTAACGTATCCTGACAGCAACATTACATGACACAAAACGGCTAAAACTAGCCAAATCAAACTTGTGCATTATTATTATACAACAAGTGCGCAAATAATTCAACCTAGGCCTTATACAATATTAGGAACTGATCCAAACTTAATCTAATGCTAATTAACGAAGAGCAATGCTAGGAAGAATGCAATTAGAAAAGTACATGAATAGAGAGCCTTGGTGACAAACGCTGAGTTCTAACATATGATAACAACACCAACAAAATGAAAGTTTATAGCTGGATAAAAATTAAATATGAGTTAATGGAAAACCTAACACAAGCTATTAACATTGGTAACAAATGAAGTCACATTTTCTAATGACACTGTCAAATTTATCAATAACACAGCATACAAGGTATTGGAATAAATGCGAAACTCAAAGAAATCTCTATATATGGAACATTTTTCCAAACCTCAACCAAATGTAACTGTCTTTATAAATGCAAAATTGGATGCTGTGCTGGACATAGCAAATACTTGGGCCTTGGGAGAAATTACGAATTTTCATTAGCACCTTTAGTTTAGAAAATCGTCCATTTAAGACCAGATTTATTTGATCACTCAATTAAATAAACTTACAGGTAAGTCACCTTCCTGATCTACATTCACCTTAATGCCATCCTCCTCAGCAGAATTCTTTGTGAGTGGAGTTTTGGAAGGATGAAAAGAGGAAGAGAGTAAAAGTTGCCATAATGGTAGCCCCTCAGGAGGAATCTGATTACCAGCGTTGCAATGCAGAAGGCGTGCCAATTTACCGACGAGATAGCTAGCTCCGGCTCGTGCTTGAGCTGCTGTTGCCAAAGCGATGGCGGCGGAAAAGGAGGCTGTTGCGCCTGTCACACTGTGGGCCAAGCTTGTCTGCTCAGTGGACCGCACTCTCAAACGATTTATACCCGAGCGCAAGCATACTATCTGATCCAATAACTACACAAAAATCAAGAAAGAGGACTATTACATTGTTAAACAAAAAGGGAGGAGTTCGAGCTTGCTTACGGGTTTTCCTTCACGACGCATAGCGTCGGCGCGTCGATCACAGACAAGGGCACTGTCGATGAGTCTTTTCTCAAGATCGGTGAAAATTTCAAGAGGTGTGATGGATTTGGGGGTTTCCACGCTATTATCGGTGGTGACTAGATCGGAGGAATGACGAGATTCGAAGAGAGCCCAATGCCAGTGAATGGTGGGCTTGGTGCGAAGATGAACGCAACACGCTCGACGCCAGACTTCTCGTGCTCCTGATATATCACACTCTGTATACTAAAAAAACCATTCACTCACCCACACGTTCCTAAGAGTCAGCTGTAATAACAAACTTAAATTTGTGTTGTAGAAGACTCGAGCTTACGATAATAAAACGCAGATTCTTTTTACTAAGAACTTGGTCGGATAGCATATTCCGTTAATGCCTAGATCAATAGTTTTTCAGCATCAAAGGGCCCTTACACTTTCAGCCACCAACTTAATAGGCATAGACATTATTTCTCCAAATTCATCAATTTGACAAGTAGATTAGCAGAATAAAATACAAAAAGCCTTTAAATCATCCCCAGATGGTTTTTCAGATATTAAAGAATAGTAAATGAACACATAACGATAAATCTAAATATGTCTATCTTTTCAGTTTATAGAGCATTATTATCGATATACCTTATATAAGAAAAAAATAAATCGCTGCAAACTTTTCAACCTCAAATAGTGAAAGACTGCCTTTCAATATCCAACTTACCTCGAGGTACTTCGCATAGCGAATCCAAAGGTGCTCGTAGAGAGCACAGGCCACAAGGCACCGTTCGTAGAGAACACGGACACGTTTCTTGGCCAACTGAACCTCAGCAATTGTGATCTGAGGCTCTGTTACAGAATGACCATCCGTGACGGGCACATTTAGAACAGCTTCTGCGCTGGCTGCCTCTGATTCCTCAAAACTTAGGTACTCTGCCCAATTATTCAACTGGGCTTCTTCCAAGGGTTTGACGTGGAAATACGGACGACGAATCTGCATATTAATTAAATGAAAGAGGAATTTTAAAGGCAAAATATAATAAAAAATTGAACAAATTGGAAATTAAGTGAAAGTAACAAAGCCACGCTAAAAATGGACGGTTAGAGAAAGGCAATCAGAAAACTAAATCCACCAGAAGAAAATATCCGTTTAAAATTGTCATAAATAAATCTTTAATAAGTCCACCTTTTCTTCAAAGAACCAGCGCTTCATGATTTGAAGGTAAGTTGCTTGATAGACCTTTTCACGACGATCAATGACCAATTTTCGAATTGCGATTCGATCAGCTTCAGTTATCTATAATCAGAAAAAATAGGCATTAAAAACAAAGTCAAAAAACGGGAAATTAAGTTAAAACAGAGTTAATTATACATCTGGAATAGAGACAGTGTCAGATTTTGACTCCTTAAGAGCTATGCGCATTGCTGTACCAGCGACCGGAGAAACCCGAGCGAGAAGCTCAGCAAACTCGCCTACAGGAAGATAATCCTCAGGGCGGTTCTCTTCTATCATCTTTTTGAAAGAATCCCAATTCTGGAAGTACAGTTGGGTTGGAGTGCACAAAAGACGATCATAAATGGATAAAACACGTCCCAAACGGTTATGACCAGCCTCCCAGCTCAAGTAGTGCTCCCATAATGCATCGGATCGAAATTCTAAGCCTGCCTTTTCAAGTGCCACCTCATAAAGACTAAAAAAGGAAAGTGGGAAAAATTGTATGTAATTATAATTAAATTTTAAGCTGGCTTACCTTCGCATTCTAGGTTCGAAATCATCAAAACCATTAATGATATCAAGATTAGCTTCAAGATATGCTACCCAGAGATCGATACTTAAAGGAATCGCCTCAACCCCTTTCTGAAAGATCTAAAATAATAAGAAAAAACAAACTCACAGAAGATCAAATTTTATTCGTCCAAACTGATGAAAGGAATTCCAAGATTCGAAGTCATATAGAAGGATAAATAAGAAAATTATATGAAACTGATACTTTAAATCAATATTAGTGTAAGCTTACTTCTAAGCATCTATCTTTATTTCCTTGTAGCTTTTCCAAATTTGCGTATTTCTTCCAATAACCATAGCAGTAGGGAAAATGTTTAAGGAAAGAATCAAACGCTTTACGAGTCACGTCAATGTTGGGCTGCAAGGAAAAAAATTAATAAGCAATCAAAAATGGAATCCAAAAGACGTAAAAAGAACTAACCTGTTTCTCAGCTGCATCCAATAAATTGACCCATGAGTTAAAATCTGCAACATTCAAGTTCACCTTACGCCAAAGCCGATCGGTCAAACTCATTTCAAAACTCGCTGAATTTTAATTTTTCCGCTCCATGAACAAATAGGATAAAGACATTTTAAAAAACTTTTGACAGTACATTTAAATGTAACTTATATAACTTTATTTTAAAAATACAGTTTATGATGTATATAAATTTTTACATTATTTAATTTATTTGTTTTATTCTATTTTTGGGTATTTTTATCATTTTATTGAATTTAAATGATTTGATTATGCTATATAATTTTTTCTAATAATAATAACAATTTTAGTTCTATTAAGCGCCTGCTTTGGTTAATTGTGATATGTGCAAAGTGGTTTAATGCTCACGTGTTCTCATTGTCCTTTTCTCGATCACCTACAGATATGAAGATTTTCATTGGAGTCGTAACTGCTTTTCTTTTTTCGTTACTTACAATTCTTGTTGAATGTTTTCCTAAACAATTCACTTTTGAGCTTCCTGGCACTGAAGAAATGTGTTTTTATGAAAAACTTGACAAAAGTGAGCATTACAATTTCATGTTTCAAGTCCTCAAGGGTGCTTCTAGTGATATTCAACTAGTTATTAGAGATCCATCAAAGAATGCTCTGATTACTAAATCGAAAACAAATCATGAATCCGTCGATTTTATTCCCCAAGTGGGTGGCGATTATGCATTTTGTTTTTCAAACCAATATTCGCCAATGTCTCCCAATCAAATTCTCATTGAGCTAAGGGGCCAAGATACACTAAGAGAAGAGGCTGGGTTTGGAGGCTCTGGGCCAATGTCTGCGATTGAGACACTTGCGGAATCTATTCATGAGCATCTTTCAGTCTCCGAAAGTTATCAAACTGAACTGCGGGCCAAACTTACTTCAGATCGTATTTTTGCATTCGAATTGCGTTCACATATCACTATTTGGAGTTGTGCAGTTTCGTTGATCATTATTTTGACAGTTTTGTCCCAAATAGCCGTCCTGAAAAGCTTTTTCAAGGATAGCGAACGGTATTACACTGCTCTCAATTCACATTGAATAATGATCTGTTCTTCCTTTATATTTGCTTATTGGTTTGTTATAAAATGCTTTATAATAGTATGTTAATAAATATTTTGAATTGAATATTTTTCATTCATTCCGATGGTTTTGTAAGATTGTTCTGATATTTATGTTCATGAGAGTTGTTTTGTTTGAAAAGTATATGTTATGCATTGATTCACTCTTGGATTAGGCTGAACGATCTATACTTGATACATTGCCTTTGGTTTCAAATCGTATCTTTTATGTAAGTCTCATATTGGTGCCGTTTATTTTCCATTGCCATGAGCTTACTAGATTTTTCCATTTAAAAATTGTTAATTTTTTCTCATTTGAGAGAAGTTATTCTAAATTCTGAATGATAAGCTGGTCTTCTCTGTGTGAATGTGTGAATCTCATCCAACCATAGGGTTTTGTGACTCGTTCATATTTTATATTATGAACAAATTTTTAGGAAGAATTAAGACGTTGACAGCATTTTTTGAAATAGTATGTCTGAAGTGGTTCTGGTTTTTTCGTCTGTTTATTTCTAATCATAGTTTCTTGCCATGTATTTGTCTGCAAGGTTATGTGGTTGCGCTTAAAATGTGCGTGTTTCATAGAGACTCTTGCAGTTCTTGCTCATATTGTTCTAAGCGGTAAATGTAGTTTTTATATATTCATTAGTGCAAGTGTCGAAATTGAGAACCATGTAAATGAAATTGTATTACACTGCTATTGTTATTCCTTTACGTCTATATGACCAATTTTGAGTTTCAATGGTTTACTACTACCCTATCGGAAACTAACTCATTCTTTCTCAGATTCCTAAATGCTTGAAAAACTTCCCGTGTTGCAAATAATGGTTAAGTGAATTCGGAATCTGGTTTCCTTTCATTCGTTACACATCCCCCTTTCTTGGTGTCGTATCCTCTTTCCATTTTCAAATCTTGGTTTAGTTCTTCCATGTGTTTCTTTATAATTTAGTTCTTAGATTAACGTTGTTATCTCTAAGTTTCAAATAGAACTTGGCAATTGATAATTTGAATATTTTCCCCAAAATATTGTAAATCCCATTAAATGTCATGGATTTTATTGTCCCAGATTACTTTTATTTGCTTTCACTCTGTTTTTTCCTAAATATAACCATTCATGTCAATACATGTTCACTAAGTTGTCTGACATATAGTTTATGCATTTCATATCAAGGTAAAAATTTTTCTCATCTTTATTTTACAAAAATTTATCTTGTCTATACCGCTTTATTCTCCTTACTTTACAAGATATTGGCAAAAAATCAGGGTTAGGTTACATAAATAAGTAATGTTAATGTACTTTGCAGGGAGGAAGGTGGGGTGGTTTAACCACGTGTAGAGACTGCATGTGTGGGACTCCCTTCTAGAAGCTGCTGATGGAATTGATTTCTTGTTTTATTTAATGCTGGTTTAAATTTCTCGCAAGATGTGTACTTGGAAACATAAGTTTGTAGGTAATTGCTATTATACAGTGAGCTGTTGCCACAGCTGTGAGTTAATGGATTGGGGAAATAGTTTGATAATAAACGTTGGGATTTTTACTCGTGCATTACCTAAATGTTGTTACTCTTCGTACAGTTCTTTTACCGATGATCGCGTTAACTTTAATGCCAACTTCAAGGACGATATTTCAATGTGTCATTACAATCGCCTTTTTACTTAATAGAACACATATCACTTACCTTTTCACATCACATTGAACATATTCACCATTCTTCCTCGAATTCGCTGGCATTAGTGATTAATACTTTCAGAAGCGGTAGTTTACGTACTTGATTTTTTAGCCCAACCAAGCCAAGAACTTCTTAGCTATATACTTGTGTAAACTTTACTCTTACTTCTCATTGGTTTCTTTTCGCCATAAAGCAGTTTTGCATAATAGAGCTGGATAGATTATCTACAACATGGTTTCAGAATTCCCCAGATGAAAACACTGGGCTGCCTCTTCATATGCCATGACCATGCAAAAAAGTTATCCTAATATCGGGCTTCTTGCAGTATTAAGGACAGCTTTGAGTCTCTTGCTATCAAGCATCCTTTGTATTATTATGCAAAGGTTGTGATAACAATTGACTCAATTAACATCTCACTAACCTTTGGCTTTGCTTTTGGTAGGTAATTGTGGGAAATATAAAGTGAGTAGTTGTTTTTCGCGTAGAGGTTTTAAGCTTCACACTAATTTTTGCTTTTCTACCCATATTAACTTGAAAGTAATGTTAATAACTACTTACTCTTTAACCATCGAAGTCTTTTGCGGTGGAAACAGTACTTTTGGTCTTTTCCATATTGTCCTGAAGGTCGCTCACATTTCAGTCAGGATTGTCATTTTTCTTCTATGAAGAAGGTCTTTCTCTTTAAATGGGCAGTATTATTTATTGGTAACATTTCAGGAGGTGTTAGTATAAGCAAAAAAAGTTCGCCATAGAAAAGTAGTTGACGTACACTTGCTATGTAAGCAGTAAAATATTTGGGTAATGTTTTTTCACGGACCTGGGAAAGTTCCTTATAAGAAATATGAGTGCTAAGACATTTGAAATCTCAGAATTCTGTTATCATTTATGGTCGGATGTAATCAGCGCGGTTGATCAGGGAGTTCACTAATTATATAGATATAATATAAAGAAAAGTTCGTGAAAATGCTGAATTCCTCGTGGTATGATTTCATGAGAATTTCAAAATAGAGCTGCTTTAATTTTGATGAAGTTTAGATCTTAGCTCAGCTACTAAGGAAAAATTGAAATAAGCATTAGTTTCTTTTCGGCTTGAAGCATACTTTTAGCTCAGTGCTTTAAACATCTTCTATATCTTTTTCCTTGAAAACTATTTGACCTCTTAGCAGTTATCTGTTTTCTAACTGAGTCGATGGATTTGTCAATGAAGTAATCAATTTATTTTGTTCTTGCTCAACCGATCGCTCCGAAATATACTGATGTGTTTAGGTAGTATATGGAGTATACACCATTTCCAAGACCGAAAAAATAAATCTCATGTCCTCTCGTGGAGTCCGCAAGGTGCAGCTATGCTTCTGATCGCAGTGGGAGCTAGTGATATCTTGAGTGCAGAGACTTCTCGTCCAGCTCTTGATAGATGTCAGTGCGTAATGCAGCCTTAATAGTATTCTAATGACTATGCTCTTTGCTAAGTTTCACAATCATAATAAACGCCACTCCGCGTTCTTGATACTTGGGAGGGGGGGGGCTTATTTAGTTAGATTGACAATTCATGCAGACGAATATTACTGGGTGGAATGCTAAGAGTTAGAAGATGCTAATTCGTGGGACATGCGCTACAAGTATCGAACTAAATGGCATCCACTTCAGAACTATTTATGTCACTAGAATATGGGAATTATTTTTTCTGGGTATTTTTTCCCTTGAAATTGAATTTTCTCATTGCTCTATTGCAATCTTATAAATGACAGAAAATGGGAAAGAATTACTATTTCCTTATTTGTTAATGTTGAAGGTATTTAAGATTCTTACATATTCGTGTGGTCTAAGGTAATAGCAGAAAAAGTTCGCAAATAGTAACGAATTCACGAAATAGTTTTATATTAGTATATACCTATTTGTTTAGTTTACCTTACCAAAAGTGCTGAAGGAAATTATGGAAGGTAGGATGACCAAATAAGACTTCATGCTGACTTATTCCGTGGCGTTGACTAAGTTTATGGTAAACTTAAAAGTCTTGGTGCATACCGCAAAAGATGAGCATATTTACTTTTAGTTTATTAATAAAAATAAAGAAGTTATAAAAGCCTAGTTTATACGAATACAAGATAAGCAATAGAAAATAATCGTTATAGTGAAGTTGGTAGGTACTAGCACAGTAAGATGAATTAGGTGATGACAATGTACTGTTATAAATTAATTATTTTGAGACAAAAATATTTTCAAAATTTGAGTCATATTTTCACAAACTTTCAACAATGAACTATTGAAAGTTTTGGGATAGGTAAACTGGCATTTGGGAATGTACGCTATTCATTATTCATTTGCATTTTAAATTAAATGTGAGCTAGTACTTGGCTGATGTAAACTAAGAGTAAAACTCATGTTGGGGAAATAGATTATTTAAACTCGCGCCATCAAAATAATTAATTCCAACAAAAAAATATGTAAGAGGATACTGTACACGAAGTCATTGTAAGGTTCACCGGAGACAATAGAAATATTTAGTTTCAAATAAGAAATGTTTAAATAGTAAGTATTGTTAAAGTTTCCACGGCTTCGTGACAGGAAAACACTATATAGGAAAATAACATTGTGATTAGTATGAAGTATTGTTTAAATTCTGCTTCCCCGCTTCCAAAATTAATTCAATCTGATAATTATAAAGCAGTAGATTTATACAGTGATATTAAGAATAAAGCGAAAAAAAATAAATTATTTTTCACGATAAATTTCTGTTCATGATATTAAATAATCATTAACAATTAATATTATAGATCTCGTTTAAATTTAGAAAAATAACAATAAAAAAAGCCCAATCATTCAATTTCAAGAACACAAAAATTCGCTTTTTATGGAATTTTGACTCGGTTTTACACATAGTTTATTGGAAATTGAACTAAACGAATTCAATAAAATAAGTTTTGTTTTAGTGTTCTAAAAGAGTTACTGGCTTTCCATCAGCTGCATTCTATCAGCTGAGAGATTTTATTCCCTCGGAGCATGTTATCGTCTTAATTTTGCCCGCCATGAGTGCTTAGACTTTTATTAAACCTATTTAATTTTTATTCATACTTTAATACGAAGTGTCCTTTAAAGGCAACGGGAGGTTTTGCTAATGTGTTGAAATAATTACACACTCTTCTGTCATGGAGGAGAATAATGAAGACAACCCAAAGGTTCCAGACTCATCTCAAGAGGGGGTTTCAAGGCGAACGTCAGGTTTTTCAATAAATTTCTAACCATTCTAGATACAATTTATTTGAAGGTATTGGTTCCATCGATTGCTGCTGGCGCCATCATCGGCAAAAATGGAGACGCAATTGGTCAAATGCAAAAGGAAACGGGTGCAAAAATCAAGCTCTCAAAATTAAATGATTTCTATCCCGGTGTGTGTTGATTGTTTAGCGTTTTGTATAGTGTTATACACTTTTAAGTATGCTTAGAATTGCTTGTACGTTGCGTATATATCTACCTATTATTCCCTAATATTGTTTTTCAAGTAAACCGCATTTTAATGTTAGCCAACTTTCAGATTTTCATATTTGGGAATATTTAAATGATTCTTTCGAATTTCTTATCGTTGGGATTTTTGCCCTTAATGACTAATTAAGCCACGTATCTTCCTATGAGCCTTTATTCGTGCTATGTGTTTTAAACAGTTGTGTATGAGATCTGGCAATTTTTTGTTTTCATTGAGTGTGTGGATAAATTGTCTAAGTTTGCTTTATGTGCTTTTTATATGCCTCTAGGTACAACAGAACGTGTTTGTCTAATCCAAGGTCCCTTGCCTGGTGTCAGAGCGATGCATAACTACATAATGGATCGTATTCTCGAGAAGCCTGAAATATCTGCACCCGTAGTAACTCCTGGGGGTCACATCGCCTTATCTTCTCCAATCGGGCCCCCCGGATTCCAGCCAAGCAGTCCCGAATCATCCCCAACTACAGCCGCTCTTGGTGGGTGCACATTCTGGCCAGTCACCGCCACAGCTGCTGCGATTCCTGCTCAATCTCTCTTTACCACCAATCGACTTCTCTGGGAACGCTACAAACAGGTCAGTTGCTTCCCCCTCCCGACTTCAGCTTTTTCTCCTTCCATAGTCTTAACTTGGAAGCAAATGATTACCTTCTAGTCCGTATCTCCTTTGTATTAATTCTTGCGATTGTAAAATGTACTCTTTGTTGACATGAATTTTATAAATGATTTCTTTACTCATATCTCTCTACGTGCATAGTTTAATCATTGCTTAATCTCACAATTTTCCCCTATGTTCTCTTTAGGTGAAAATACTTGTGCCCAACTGCACAGCTGGTCTAGTTATCGGAAAACAGGGCACCTATGTGTCAGAGATCAAAGAGGCCACCGGCGCATTCATTCAAATTTCGCAAAAGTCGAAAGACATCAATCTACCTGAGCGTTGTATCACCATTGCTGGTAAATGCAAGATGTCTATAAGTAATTGTTTTGAATTAGGGATGGAGTTTACTGTAATAAAGTAGGTCAATAATAAAGCACCTTTTATCAAGTAAAACAATAAATAAAGTGCACTAGGCGCATGTAGGTAGGTGTTTCTGTGTATGTAAATGATTTCGGTAAAAGGACAACCTGATTGGTTGTTTAGTTCGTGTGTCTGTAGACACAAGTATTGTATACGTGCTTTGCGTTATAGGACTATCCTTTACGACTCTCATTCTCTTGTTCTTGTAGGCGAAGCAGACCAATTGCGTGCGGCTGTAGACATGGTTTTGACGAAAATAGCCGAGGACCCACAGTCGGGCACCTGTCCAACTATCTCTTACTCTCACGCACAGGGCCCAGTTGCTAGCGCTTATCCTACAGGTTCTCCCTTCGCTTATGCTACTCCTCCGCCCCCACCTCAACCACAAATTGGTGTATCTCAGCCATCATCGGCTGCTCATACCCTTTTCTCTGTTCGTCATCCCTCTGCTGCTTCACTTGTACGCCAGAAGAGCGACGGGGTCATTCCTTCCGGGGCCTATTACCACAGCGCCCTCCAGGCCTCCTATTTCGCAGCTGCTGCTGCGGCCGCTGCTGCTGATTACCAACAACGGCTTGTCGTTCTCAACGCAGGCTACTCACATCAGACCCATCGTGGACTTGAGTCTGGTGAGGCGTCTGGTGCTAGCAGTAGTCTGGAAAGTGCGGGTGGTGGATTTGTTGGACCACTAACTCCTTCGTGTGAAGGTGGGGCGGGTGATACCTCTTCACCCTCTTTCTACACCACTGCTACCCCTCTCCTTCCCACTGCGGCGGCGAGTCAAATGCTTGCGACAGCTGCTACTGCCACTATTTATCCCTCTCCTACTGGTTGTTTGGAAAGTCCCCTGGATCCTTCTGGATTCTCTCTTTTACCATCGTCACCACCACCACACCAGTCAAAATTGTTCGCCGCTTCTCCAGTGGAGGCATATTTTGCTATCCCCCCCATAAGAGCATGCTCGCCTCTCTCTATGGGACCTAGTGCAACAGTGACCACCGTGGCTTGGTTACGATCCAGGGGCTACTCAGAGGAGGCCGTGTCTGAGATTACTCACGCCATGTCGACACTCTCCGCTCACGGGGTGCTGAATATCGAAGGGGCATTGCCTCATTCTCCCGAATCAGCTATGATCCCACTCACTCCCCATCACCATCAGATGCCTCTGGCTCAAGATCCGCCACCAAAGGAAGAAGCCCCCGAGGTCGTGGAAGGCAGCGCAGCTGATTCTGTCGCTGCTGCAGGTGCGTACTACATTCTTTCCCAATGGCCATACCCTCTATTGTGATTTTTAATCTTGCTCTTTATTCTTCTTCCTTAGACCCATGAATCAGGAGATTAAGGCCTCCATATTCTTAATTATCGTGCCGGATTTTCTGAGCCCCCCCCCCCCTTGTCCATATCTGTCTTATACGTTTCTATTACTTTCTACCTTTAACCCCTCTCAAGGTCTTTCGTGATTTCGCGTTTCTCTTCTCATTAACTCCTCTTCCATCCACCGAGTGATTCAACCTATCACCTTCTGTATGTGTTCTCGTTTTTTGTCTTTTCTATTTTTCTAGAATTCTTGAGTTAAAGCTCCACGATCTTAATACCACGCAAGGTGATGCTGTTTCCTCACCTCTTCCTAATTTTCTTTTCGAGCATTTGAAGACACACGGATTTGTAGTCGTGAAAGGACATTCAATTTTAAAGATCTCAACGACGCTCCCCTTTCTTTGTCGTAACCCCTTATTCTCTTATTCCTGCTTGTGTTTGTCCCTTTCTATCTACAGAGTTCGATTAGCGAACAATAGAGTTACATGCACATATAGACACAGACTGCTCCTCCTTATTACCAAATCACCTACTCAAATTGATTTATTTATTTACCGTCCCCTGTGCTCTGTTCTATTTTTGCGACTCCTTCCTCTTTTTAATGGTGACACTCAGATGTTTTCTTCGAGACATTGATTATAATCTATTGGCCTCTACCCCTTCCTCCTAATTGTAAGTCTGCAAATAGAATTAATGCTACACTATTGGTGTTTATTTTTATCGGCACTTTTCGGTTGTTTGATTAACTGCTTCTGTCATCTCCAAACTTAGCATAAAATTTAACTGAGTGCTGAATAAACCAACCAACTTGTTCACTTGTTTCTTTTTTCACAGCTTGTTTTGCCTTTCTCAATTCACCTTTAAACAATTGGTTTCGCAAAATCAATTCTGGTTTAGAAGTACAGATCAAGAAGTTACCTTTTTCTTTCTCATGAGTTTTCTATTATGTCTATCCTTTTCGGCCCTGTAATAAATTTAGAAATAGAGCAATATGGTTTTTAGTTTTGTCTTTTGCCTTCTCAAATGATATGCTACTTCTGCAATATTAATTAAATCAATCATAGGCATGAGAAGGCTCATTTGTTGTAATAGACATGTCTATTGTTATCAAAATGAATTTATTTCGCATCGAAATTTGTTCTCTGCTACTGCATTGTTGCCTTCTAATAATGGTGGCCGTTTATGAAAGAAAGATTTCAACCAAGATTATTCCTTCAGCGCAACATAATGACAACACGTTCTTTTCTGGATGCGATTCGTTGCAATGATGGGCCTGACTTCTTGACTTTCCAGAGTCCCCTCCAACAAGCGCAGTTTTTGGTCTCTAAGGACGACCACGTGGCCCTGAAACCTTTGTTGGCTTTGCCCAATAGGGAAAATGGTGGTCCAATTAAAGAAACTGACTTCACTAATCCCGACGTCAATGAAAATCTCCTCCATGTAAGTAGTTTCATTGCTGAGTCATTTTCCAGTGGAGTTCGATTTCAAGGTGGTCGAATACTGAAAAATATGTCTCTTAAAACTTACTTTAATATTTTATTTTATTCAAAATCTACTTAAGTAAGGTAATTATGTAAATTACTTATATTTCCTTAGGGGATTCGTTAGCACATTTGAAAGTTAAATTCTATTTAGTAAGAAACATTGCTTCTATTAAATATGTTGATCTAAAGGAGATTCGTTGAATGTTTAGTAAATGTGACTCAAAAATAACGCTACGGATTTCTAACTTGGAAAGTGTTTCGGTGTTTTCCTTTTTTGAGAATTTTGAATAATACTTGCAGTAAACTAAGCTACAGTAATTCGCCTAGGCTTGACAACCATCGAACCCGAAATACCAAAGTGTATTTTTCGTTTTTTTTTATTAATGTCCTCAATTGCCCTAGGAGGAATTATTTTCGCCTGTCTATATGAAAGCACTATTTATTAAATCTGCATCCTCTTGTTTACTTACCTTCACAAGGCATGCCTGTTGCTCGATTGTACATATAATAGGTTCTCACTAATCTTGCGTAAGCTACTTCTTCAAGGTGTATCAAGAAGTCTACATTCACGCTAGAAGTACAATCTAATGGCAACTTCTATTTAAGTAATATATATATTTGTAACGAAAATTTTCGCCTTTCTTTCATGACAACTCCCATGCAGTTAATGACAACGCTTTATTTGAATTATTACTTGTATTGAAGACTCGGCAAATAATTTGGTCATTTAGGTCTTCAGGGTAACTTTCTCACAACGGAAGTGGGTAGTAAAAGCCTAATACTTCTGACGAATTTGTTTGGTCACTAGAGAGCCAGAGTAAAGCAATTTTTCCTTTCGCATGCCAATTGTTGTTTGTTCCGTATATCTCTATTTTCAATAATATTATAGGAAATGTTCTTTAATTGTGATAATGGGTTCATTAAATGACCTGTTTCCCATATAATCTCATGGCATTTTAGGTACCTTGCCTAATGGCCCTAATATTCTTAAGTAAACACCTTGCGCATCTTTCTTATCTCTACTGTTTAAATATATCTTCTTTTAAGTTGATCATTGATCTGTCCCAGGTGTTGAACTGCTCTGTTTTATCTAATACATTTGAAATCGTTTACTCCCACTTCCTGTTTCTAATGAAAGTTTCAAGTTGATTTCCTTTCCGCTTTGCGTACTTGCCCGCATCAATGTTGTTGCATTTTTTCTCAAGCCAAAATACGTACAATTAAAGCATGCGCAATGAAATTGACTTAGTATGCTCACGTGGCGGAAACCAACTCTCCTTTACATTTGTTCATCGCCGATATATTAAAGCCTCTCTAAAAAAAATTTTTCGACTTTATGCTAAAATTTGTTGGGTTATTTTGCAAATCGATATCACAAGGTATTTTTACTTACATATTTTATTTTTGTACTGGAACACGAAATCGTGCTTCGCCTTGGCGCAGAGAAATATCCAGAATAATGGAATAACAATTATGGCGTTCCATTGGTTGCTATTTAGGAACAAATGCAAAGACGTTGATATGGTTTTCTCTTTGGGAGCTTAATTTCTTTATTCCAGTTTTAAAAATGCCTCTTAGCTTATAAGAATTTGAATTCGGGTTCGCTGTATCAATTAAACTCATGAAAAACTGAAAAATATGTGAATTTTCATATGTTTCTTTTAATGGAACAAGTTTAAGATCACAAGGATTATTCTTACTTGATTGGATGAGCCAAGAAAAAATCAAATTTTGGTTTTATCTATCCATGCATGTTTTAAATGGATACTGAAACGGCGCATTTTTCCCTTGGCGACTTACCTTGATGTTGACAGACCAATTTCCTTCACATTTAGGCTTTTTAACTGATTTTTAATTTTTACCCGTTACCTAACATCTGCACTAGTACTTAGCTAAAGTTCTGTCTTTCGTGTGTCTCAATGCTGGCGTCTTCCCCTGCTTTCTTTATACAACTATCTTGTCATCATCAATTGAGTTCGTCAAGTCGTGAAGGATGGCATCCTAGGTTCGATTTCTCTTTACTGCCTAGGTTAGCTTGAATTCTTCTTGTAATTCTCCAAAGTAATCCGCTTCTGTCAGCTACTGTGATTATCAAAATCTATCTGATGGATAAGGATTAGCATTCTTCGGTGTGTTCTTCGATTATTAGCTACAAAGTATGAAGGAATCGTGATTGAAAACTTAGAGACTTAGATTGGTTTCTGCACAAGTTGGCTAGTATTTTGACATCAACCAAAATTCTCTTTTTTGTTAATATTTGAAGTCCTAAAGAAATTGGTTGTAGCGGTAACTTCATAGATGGATCAGTTATCAGAAAGAAAACATTAATTGCGTTTTGAATTATTTAAATTTATTGAAATAATTTTGAAATGAAAAAATTATATGTTTTAATGTTAAATTAAGTATTTTAATGAGAACACTCTTCTGTTTTTTCAAGACTTTCTAAAAAATTGGGAAGGTGTTCGCAGACAAACATGTCTTTAGGCAGCACCACCACCCTTCCCCTCTCTTCCATATATCCTTGTTATGTGTTAAGATATACTGGATCATTTAACTCTATATTTTGATAGTTTGAAGAAAAATAATAAACGAAGTTTTCCCAGTTCCCGTGATGGTTTTGAATGCCAATCATGTGAATTTTCTGTAAAGTATTAAATTATATTTAAAAAGAGCTGCTTAAAGTCTCTTTGTGGTCATATTTCAACTTGTCAACATATGGAGAAATATAAGTGAGTTTCACGGATGTTTACTAAGTAACTATACAGACAGTCTACCCTCAATTTATTGATAAAATAAAACAATTCTTGTTTTAGATTCGATGGGCAAATATAATGCATGGCTTAAAAACACAAATCTCCCTTTGTGACCATTTTCTCTAGCTGCTTTGAGTTTTCACCTTAATTTGCATATCAATATTTCTGGTCTTCCGTTTTCTTTTGGACTCCTCACTCGGGCCTTTCTAAGTTTCCTTTATTTGGTTAAGTTCTGCTCTATTTTCTCATCACAAATACATTCTGCCATCGTCTGTCTCCTTATCTTGCTGTAATAAAGTTATCCTTCCTTCGCTAGGAAGAAGTGCAAGTGCGAATTTTACGGAATAATATTCCATCATTTTTTCGATGTGCAAATGGCATTCAGGCGCACTACGCTACCTTGGGTGACTGGTGCCCAACTAAATCACGGAAGATATGAACTCACATAATGACGATTCTCGTCTGCCATCAAAATAAGGAGACTATGGCCGCTGTTCAATGCTCCTGAACACTGTGAGAACAATCCCGCATGAACTGGAGAATTGCAATGGAGACGATGAGGTTGCTGTGGCTTGAAAAGTCAACATACTGTCGATCTGATCTGATTGCACTAGCACAGCTGCAGGAGAAGGTGTTGGAGTATCTTAGCCTTGGAATCCGAATTTTGCCACCACAGGTAGTCGGAAATTTCTGTCTCTAACACGCAACCTGCGCTAAATGAAGATATTCATTACTACAAACACATACAGCCATCACTTGATTCAATTTTTTACAGAAAAAACGGTCGGAGACATCCGACGAAGATAATGAAGCTTCTGAGCAAAGTGGAACGTCCTGCTGAAACCAAATAATCTGGTTCTTTGCTGATGACCAAAACTTGGACTAAGACGGAAAGCACAACACACTAAATAGCAGATGTTTTGGTTTGCATAGATTCCAAGGGACATTCCTTGACTTACGCATAATAATTTTGCCTAAACCGTTATGGCTTTCGAATGTGATCTCCTTCAGCGGTGTCCACAAGTAGGCCATATGGTAGCAGAATTCAATGCTATACCACACCTCAACAATTCCACAACCTTGTTTCCAAACGGTTACAATTTCGATTAACTGTTGAATACGGATCTCACTTTTCTCGTGTTGTAATGATAGTCTTTTGTTTCTGTGTACAACATGAATAATTTTCTTTTTATTCTTCTTGATATTTCATTACCAAAGGTCTTTTCTTTCATGCCTTACTTACGTACCCTTTTAAGACTGTGTCAAGTTAATATTTATTTTAGAAATATGTTACAGCATTTGTAGTTAGCCAGTGAATTGCACTTTTCTCCTATTACGTTGAAATTGGGTATTTTCAACACGCCTTGAAGAAGTTAAGCGTCTCTATGATAAACCGTCACATTCACCTACCGACTGGTATCGAAATCTTGACCTTAGATTTTACAGAAGACCACAGTTACCGCCACGCTATTGGAATGCTCTAAAATGTACTTTAAATATGAGCTTAAACTATGGTAGAAGTGATAGCAAATACTGGTGGTCTCGTTGTTTGCACTACTAAGAAAAGAATGCCAAGGCGTGAGACATTTAATCGTTCTCTATAAATGAATTTAAAATACCCCACAGTTTCTGCTCATTTATATTTTTATTGCGGGGTGAGAGATAGACTTACCTTCACGTAGAGCACCCTGGGCAACGTTAAAGTCTATAAACCGGTAGTTGACTTCAAACTACCGTGACCCCACCGTATGTCATATTCGACCCCTTCCACAATACTCTCCTTACCTTTTTCTCTGCCTTTGTGGCTCCCTTTTACATCTGTGAATCACTCTTCTCTCCCCCCCCCCATTTCAGACTTTTTATAACTTTGATGTTCCCCCCTTTTGTAAAACCCGAAGTCAACTAAAGGGCTAATGGTAACTAGCATAAAGCCTGCCATTTAGTATAAATAAATATTTTTATGCTGGTTTCTGTTTATTGCCTTTTGTTCTTCCTACTAAAATATATGTACTCAGATGGAGGTCTCAGAGAGGAAACGAATTGTTCAATCTAAAAATTAACACCTGTTGCATGCATCTTTAGTTCTAAGGACATAGGTAGATGGGGATCTTAATCTAGCCTGTGATTGTTCATCGATTTTATCCGTTTTATCTTTCACCATGTTCTACGTATGACTTAATTCTTGAGCTGTTTCTGCTTGTCGAGTTTGTCCCATTAACAAGTAACTACCTTTTCTGACTTGGCTCTGCTAATCAGCCATTTTCGCCACTCTGTTTAAGCATATCGTAATTTTAATCTTTTGTAACCCCCCCCCCCCACCCCTCCTTTTTTCTACCTACTTCACTTTCCTCCATTACAGTGGTCCCACATCCCTTTTCTCATCCAACTTTACTATAAATATAAATATTATAAATCTGAAATAGCTGTTGTTGAATGAGGAAATATCTCTAAAAGCAGCTTTGCCAGTGTCCTAAAAGTCACTCCATTCTAGCCCCTCCCCCTTCCTTTCAGCATGCATGACCCATTCAATTAGAGCGCATAATTTGTTGAGCCTCCGCCTCCTTTATGGAGGATATCGATTGACGATAATATGATAGTAGTCTTTGGAACGAAAATTTTCGAGGGAGAAGTGAAAGTACCATGAGCTATTTTAAAATTGAACCCACTTTTAACAAATATATAAATTAAAGGTGAAATTACTATTTTCAGTTCGCAGTTCGTCAGTTGGCAGCTAACTGTGTGCACATTTTGGTACATCCACCTTTCAATTGGAATCCTGAACGACGAAATATCCTGGGATCAAGTGCGTTGGATTTGGCGATGCGCAACAGGAACGCCTACCTCCCAGTTGTGTGGTCTCTGGCCTTCACGTCCCTTGAAGTCTTTCCTGAACCCTCTGACTTAGGCTTTTCCTTAACGCATCTCCTCCTTAGACCTCCTACCACTGAGCTTTCCTTTCATCAGGTAACAGTTGATCTTGCAAAACGCAACTTCTTTTTTTCAAAATTGTAATAGTATGGGAAAATTTTCCAACCTTTTAAATAGCTTTTGATCTGAGGGATTTCACTTCGTTGCAGCATTTGTTTACTCTTCTTTTTATTAGGCTAATTGTCTGCTCCCGATATTTTTCGTATTAAAGATCATGATATATATCAAGACTGCAGGGCAATTTTAAAATGAATTCACTTATTGATCGATGGGGTGTGCGATAGACTTACCTCCACGTGGTGCACCCTGGGCAACGTATACTCATACGGCAAAAAAAGTCTATTAACAGGCAGTTGACTTCTGACTTCAAACTACCATGACCCCACCGTAGGTCAAATTCGACTACTTCTACAGTACTCATCTAGCCTTTTCTCTGCCTTTGTGTCTGCCTGTCTGTCTCTTCTACATCTGTGAAACACTCTTCCTTTCCCCTGTCGAGTTTTTCTCACTTTAATGTTCCTCCCTTCTGTGAAGCCCGAAGTCAACTAAAGGGCTAATGATAACTCTCAAAACGCCTGCCATTTGAAATAAATAAATAAATACTTATTGATCGATTTAGAACTATGTTTGCATTTTCTTAGTTTATTTCAATCTGCATCCAAAATATCTCTATTTCTTGCGATTTTTTGTTTTTTTCCCTCGGCCTCTTAGAATGCTCACCCTTCACTTTAAAAGCGCATTGACTTAAATTTAAGACATCTCGTGCTTAACTAACATAGTTTCTAAACATTTATTTATTTCGAATGGCAGGCGTTTTGATAGCTATCATTAGCTGACTTCGGGCTTCACAGAGGGAAGGTTCATCAAAGTAGCAGAAAGTTGAGGGGTGGGGAATAGATGAGCGATTCACAGATGTAAAAGAGGCAAACAGACAAAAAGGTAGAAAAAAAGGTAAGATGAGTACTGTGTTAGGGGTCGAATATGACATACAGTGGGGGTGATGGTAGTTAGAAGTCAGAGGTCAACTGCCGGTTAATAGACCTTTTTGCCGTATGAGAATGTAGGACATATAGGGGGGTCATGGTAGTTTGAAGTGAGAAGAAAACTGCCGGTTAATAGACTTTTTTGCCGTATGCGGAGAAGTCAACTACCAGTTAATAGACTTTGCCGTATGAATATACGTTGCCCAGGGTGCACCACGTGGAGGTAAGTCTATTGAAAAACGAATGCCGAGTGATAGAATTTTTGCCGTAAGAAAGTACGTTGCCCAGGGTGCACCACGTGGAGGTAAGTCTATCGTAGTTAACTGCCAGTTAATAGACTTTTTGCCGTATGAATATAACGAAAGCCGAGTGATAGACTTTTTTGCCGTAAGAAAATACGCTGCCCAGGGTGCACCACGTGGAGGTAAGTCTATCGCACACAAACTTCCGGTTAATAGACTTTTTACCGTATGAGTATACGTTTCCCAGGGTGCACCACGTGGAGGTAAGTCTATCGCACACCCACCAGGGTGCACCACGTGGAGGTAAGTCTATCGCACACCCCGTCTCGAAACATATTAACCTTTCTATCGGCAAAATTTATGACGATTTATTATCTACTGTACTACTTTAATTTGACTAGTAAGATTTGTATTCTGCTTCTCATAGAATCGGGAAAATGGGGCCTTTTTCCGTTGACAACTCTTAAATTGCAGTTCCTTTCCTATACCTTTCTGGCATTAACTGCCCTGTTCATTTAAACTGAAGTTGTAATTTAAAAATGAATGCTAACATATGAGCATGTGATCTTTCAACTTATCCACATTTACCTAGCCATTTTACCTTTTTAATGATTCCTCTCCACGGCAATATATTGGTTGGGCAACTAAGTCATTGCCGTCTTTGTTGACAGATTTACTCTATACTTTCTTTTGTTTTGTTAACGTGCCCAGAGCATCTAACCTATATTTTTTTCTTACTGTATGGGCTTCTAGGTTAATTAGTAAAAAATTTTTTTGTTTAGTTCTTTAGTTTTGTTTTATCCCAATTTAATAATGAAAGAACAGGACGTGCACTTCCGACACATTTTATTGTATTACTTCCGAAAAGGCAAGAACGCATCGCAAGCACAAAAGAAGTTATGTGCCGTATATGGAGATGAAGCCTTAAAAGAAAGGCAGTGTCGAAATTGGTTTGAAAGATTTCGTTCCGGTGATTTTTCACTGACAAATTCACAACGATCTGGCCACCCAGTCGAAGTGGATGAAACCCATATCAAGGCCATTGTCGATTCAGATCGTCACAGCACAACACGAGATATTGCAGAGAAGCTGCTCAATGTGTCGCATACATGCATTGAAAACAAATTAAAAACCCTTGGTTATGTCAAGAAACTTGATTTATGGATCCCTCACCAGTTAAAGGAAATTCATTTGACGCAAC